AGTACGAGTTTTTCTCTGTACGAACGACGACGGCGACGGCAACGGGAACGGCAAAAAAAAAAAAATTAATGGGTAAAACAACAACTTTGCACGAGTATCAAGCTTTTTTGTACATTTCTTTGCCCTCTCTGCACAACTACAACGTGAAATGACCAAATTTTGAGTTGACTTGAGAACGGGAAAGGCAAGGCGATAAATGTTACTTTCTCTCTCTAAACTCGGACCTGGTCTCCTTTCTTCAGTTCCAGCCTAACTTCCCTCCTTTCAAGTAACTGGGTGACTGGGTAAAGGCGTAAACGTTTTAAAGGACGCGAAGTCTATTTTTCAGCGACGTTTTCATTGGTGTCACCGCTAGAGGTTTTATCGTTTTATGACCGAGAACACTCTTAAACTCCTTTAAAAAAGGTAACTGTGCTACCTAATTTCTTTGATAAAAAATGTACAATAAAGCTTTCCGGGATGTCTATTTTTCGAGAACACGCGAAAAATCTTTGACTCAAATATCCTACTCGTAGTCGCCCTCGTTCTCGAATGTAAAGTTCTCTACTTTTTAAACACGAAAAAGCGTGAGATCAAGTTCAAAACGAGTGTTCAATCCAACTAATTCGTTCTTTGATTGACATGTGACAATAATGTGACATTTCAGCATAGCATATGTGTACGTAATTGACAAAAAAACGAGCTGGTAAGTAAGTGCTCGTCCTAAAAGCGTGGAGAGTGATTCGAGGAGTAAAATCCGGCTGGCAGACCGGCGGGGAGATTGTTAAGTGCTTCCCTCGTAAAATAAACATTATTTATTCATTCATTGTGTTTGAGGATTTGTTGCTGTATGACTACTTTTGCTTCATAGTTATTAAGGCTGGTTTTCACTAGCGACAGAGTCGGAGCCGGAGTCGTAATCAGAAGCATAGAACTTTGCGATCTAGTGAAAACAACGTTCTGATTCCGCTTACGATCATGTGAAAACTAGGTTGCAGGAGTCGCAAGCAGAAGCGGAAGAACTAAACCAATCACAAAGCGTGAGAACATGCATTATGATTGGTTTATCGTAAGCGATGGAGTCATAAGCGGAGTCGGAAGAAAATGGAAACGTTCTGATTCTTCCGACTCCGATTTCGTCGCGCTTATGACTCTGCTTACGACTTCGACTTCGACTCCGTCGCTAGTGAAAACCAGCCTTAAAGCTGTAAATATGTTCAATAGGTTTTAGGAAGGTAAGACGGGTACATAGTATTCGAATAGTTGTTCATAGTTTCTCTACTAAGAATCATAATAAATATTTACTCTGATTAAGTAAAAGTACAGTGGGATACTCGCAGTTAATTATTCAATCGAATTCAATCGCATTCAGTGGAGTACAAATAACAAGTACAAATATTCCACGAAATTTGTACTGTACTCCAAAAGACCTTCGAATACGGCCATCTCTTTTCTCCTCGCCACTATTGATGGTTTGCGAAATGTCCCTGATGGTGAGAAGCCACTATGGAGAGACGTCTGTATTCGCAGGCTACAAACGACGGGTTTAACGAGTTTTCTATCAAAAATACATGGCGAAAAAGAATTAGCCAGCGAACGGCAAATGTTTCTCCTCGCTCATCGTCCCTCCAGCGGCGATGAGCGAGGAGAAACGTCTGCCGTTCGCAGGCTAAAAAAGAATGCAAGCCGGACTGTAGCGTTAAAACAGTAAATTAGGAGCTCACAAGGGGAAAACAAGCTATGCGACCTCATTTTTCAATATATTCAGGAAAAAAATTAAAACTCATTTTCTCCTCAAACAAGAAAATTAGAATTTCACTATACAAACGTATTTACATGAATGATTGGTCTTAGTTCTTTAATAACCAATAACCATAATCCTCGTAACAGCTATATCCATTTTATAATCTTCAAAATAAAATCATTGTTGTTAACTTGTTCAGGAGCTCTCCTGGTAAAGCGCAAAAGGGTTTCCTATATTATGCCGTAATAAGTATGTGAAAGGGCAAATAAAATAAATGAAAAAAAAAAAAAACTACAGTTTTTCAATGTTATATATATAACTATCAAGTACATCCTTTTCAAGGAAATCACCTTAAAGAAAGAATTGGTGCAAATAAGTAGACGAGCTAACAAAGTATACTAAAGTTAACCCCTTCAAGTATTGAGAGTGAGTAAAATCAATTTCATTAGCCTGTTCCAGGCGTTCGGGACCGCTCAGAGAGATGTGAGCAGAAAAAAGCTATCCTAACAGTTGTCAATACATAATCAATATAAAAGGTAGTGAGGATTGGTCCAATGATCAACAGAGGAAAAGTTTTTGATGTTTTATTGACTTCTCTCAACTGATTCTACAAAGAAATGTAAGGAAATCTGTTTGGAGAATCTGTATTTGGATCTTGGGCGTTAAAGGATTAATCAACCAGATCTTAACAGGCAGCAGAGACGGCCATATTCATATAATCAAAATGGAGAAAGTCCATCGTTTATTCTTTTGTCTTCATAATAATTGGCCCTCACTGAGATAATGTTGTACTCCTTGGGTTTTAGCTGGTTAGTTTTTCCTGGCGTCTCTAGAAATTAATTAAACTTTTAATGAACCATTTGATCTCCGGAAATTTGGAGAAATTGTCCTGAAAGACACGCATCCCTCTATCAATGGAACCCCACACTTAGACTTGATATTAAAGTTGTCTTTCCGGGCCATGTTTTCCGAGAATTGCGTAGTAGTGAAAACTACAAATAAAGCTAAATGTATTTTTCTTATTAATTTAGTTTGGGTGTGAGGTGATAAAACTAAGATGGACAAAAGAATTATTGTAATTTAAAATATTTTCTTCTTTTATCTTGCCCGCCCAGATTCGCAATTTGCGGGCCAGTGGATTGTAACACCGTTTTTACTAATGAATAATGTTAAAGTTGAAGTTGGTGAATTACGAACTAAAATAGTCTACGACCCGGGGGGGGGGGTACTCCCTTATATAATCCATATAGGTATTTACCGCCCCATCGGGTAGGGTTTTTGCGCCGTTTTGGTGTGAAAACGGGTATACACTTTGCCAATTTTGGTCTGGAATCGGGTATGGTTGTCGAGTGAACTACGGAGTGTATGAACGTGTTTACAGTTTCAATTCCAAATGAGTAAGAAAAAAAGAAAAATATAAGAATTGGAAATGGATTTGAATAATTGTTTTGTTTGTGCTCTAATCTAAGTAATGATAACATAATTTCTGCCTAAAGGCCAGGTCTGAAAATGGGTATGGATTTTAGAGTTCTAGTCTGAAAACGGGTGTGATTAAGTGAAATAAGTATATCAATTTTAGCCATATGGTTTTAAATTGATTATTCTTTAAACAAACGCAATTAAACTGTTGCCCGGTTGGAAACGCCTTAGACCACTTGTCAATGCAAACGCGGCGTTTTCAGACCTCAATTAATAAATGCTCTAAACGGAAATGTACTCAGTTAATTTTACCGCAGATGTTTTACAGCTGTCCATCAAAAAGAAACTTCGTCTGTTAGCTACAAAAGCCCTATTATCTAGTAACAAAATTAGATAGTCAGAAGCTTAAACAGACTAATAATGCTCGACTACAGACTTGCGTTGTTTTATGTTCTTGTGTTGTGTGCGCTAGCAACCTCTTTCTTGGACGAAGGAAACGGTGGTAAAGAAGTGGATACGGCTCGTCCTTCGGAATATGGAGGATCACTAGTACGAAAAGTTTTGAAGAGAGGTTACAAATTGACAAAATGTAGGAGCCATGTTCGCTGGTCAAGGTTTAGGGACTGTCCGAACAAGAAAATCAGAACGACGCGGTTTTGATCTTAAATATCAGGAATCGTGTACGTAAGTAACTAAGACCTAGGCCAAACATCGAACTTTTCATAAAACGAACCAGACTTAGTGAATAAAGTTCATCATGCGAAGTTCGACATGTCGCTCAGTTAAGTTCGTCTGAATGAGTTTGCATCGTCCAACACGTTTTATCCGTCTGCTTCAGACAGACAGAACGTCTGAAGATCCTCTTCGATTTTCACATGCGACGTACCAAACTAAAAAAGTAAAAAATTGGTATGACAATGTACATTTAGCCTTCTTAACTTAATTTAGGTCGACCGAAATTAGAGTTTGGTTCGACTCATGAAAAGTTTGACGTTTAGCTTACGCCTTAGAATTTTAGGATCGAAACCAAATCTTCTTCATACGTTTAAGTTTTTTTGTTTGTAAACAAGGGTAATTTGGAATTCAAAAACACGCAAAAAGGCACGTTTTTTTCATTATAAGCAGGGAAAGCTATTGATGATGTAGTCGATTCATTTGTGTTGGTCCACATATAAAAACATTTCCAGAAACTTTTTTCGAAGACAATCAAATCAGACTTAAGTAAACACTTAAAAATGTTCTCAACAAACAACATGAGTGAGTGTAGATGGAACTGTGAGAATTAATTCAACTCTTCAACGGTTCATTAAAAGCGCCAATACAGTCAATACACTTACAACGTGTAACCATCTTGCCATCATTGCATGTCGTTTCTCTAAGTATTGGCTCTTATTAAAAACTGAATCATTGGAAAATGCAATTCTAGATGTCTGACTGGCTTAGCCATCATGGTATATGAGCAATTATACCATGCTCTCCAAATATGATGCTGTACGCGTCTGATGCTCAAAATTAAAAACAAGCTGAAAATCGGTTGTTTTTACAAATAAAGTAGGAAAGAATTCTCGATATTTTGTGAGCGTTTTTAATAAAACAATTATTCGACTCGGGCTTGTTAGATATGAGATGATTATGTATAGCCAACACATATCCAACGAGCACTCGTGGAATAATTGTTAAATATTAAGGCATAATACGTACTGTAGGATATTTCTGCGATTATCTAACAAACAAATATTAATTTTTTTTGTTACACCACCTTGGTACACTACGAAAACAAATAACCCGGCCGACGTATTACAAAAAAATATAGGAATTTTGTAAACATGAGTAACAATTTTCCAATTTTCTTTCTCTTTCAGTGTATTGCCTCTCTGGGACAAATGACAACTATATCGCAGGGGAACTTTTGAAGACTTTCTACAGTACCTTCGGCGTCAAGAACTGAGAAAATTATTGTAATATCTTATTATTATATGGAAATGCAAAATTGAATCATGATTACAACTATTACCGTATGTTTTTATGCAATAAACGATGCGTGTTCTCTGCTGAAGGTGGTCCTCAGTTTCTTTTCAAAACTCAAGGACAGAAAGCTGCTTGAGCAAGTTACATCTATTGAGTGGCGCCTGTTAATTGAGTATAACACGTACCACACTTAGTTTAAATGAATCAACATCTTAGATCACACTTTGAACTGAATAATGCATAAGGAAGAACGTTCAAAAAATAAGGTAATTTTTAGAACGTGTGCAGTAATGCGCCGTTGGAGAGAGGTGGGAAATTATCGTAATACTGCAGTTGTAGTCAAACAAATGATTCTGCTCATTAGCATTAGGCCCATTACATTGACCCTGGCCTCTACCAGCAAGTAGCTCACGAAAAGACTCCTGAATCAGACCTATTATTTTTTTGTGAAAATACACCTGTTCTAAAAAAAAACAAACAAAAAATAACATTTTCGATATTTTCCTTTTACCAGCAATTGATCTGAATACTTTTGTTTGAAAGAAACTGAAAAAGTCCAATTGAGAAGACAAAAGTAGGGAATAACTGAGTCAAATGCTCTTCAATGAGATTGACGGTTTTACATTCACCACAATTCACTTTGTTTGCCCTTTAAGGATGATCTCGACTATTTCGTGCGGGTTTTCGTGTATAATCAGCGATATATTTACCCCTATGTATTCTTAGTATCTGTCTATAACTCACATTTTATCCGTATGTATCCGTACCTTGCGGTATATTATTGACGGAGGGAGTTTCAGCACCGACGATGGCGAGGGCAGCGAAAACGTCACTTTTAACATGAATTTGAGTTTTTTCAGACATTGTCGCGTTTATTCCAATTCGCTGAAAATGTCTAATGTCATAGGCAGATCTCCCTGGAGTTGATTTCTTGGAGACTGCACTCAAGTTTAGAAAGAGAAAGAAAATTTCGTCGTCGTTTGTTTACGTCCTCCGTAAAACGTGAAATTAGGTATTTTCACGTCGTAGTCGTGCCGTAACGGCAAAGAAATGCACAAAAAAGCCTGATGCAGTGCAAACTTGAGGTTTTGCTTAATAAACCTATTGTTTTTTTGACGTTCTCGTTGCCGTCGCCTTCGTCGTTGCTAAAACTCCCCATGTACTCGTATGTATCCGTGTGTTATTCGTATGTACCCGTGTGGTGTTTTACTCAAGATCCTTCATAAGGATTGTTTTCAATTTCTCCCCGGTATTTCGCATCACGTCCCGAGAAAATTGATCAAAATGCTTGTGCAAAAGTTTTGCGGGTTAACAGAGTGTATTAGTATGGGCGATGCCAAAGTACTAAAAAAGAATACTTTAACATTGAATATATGAAATTTGATTTGCAACTGAAAGAAACGTGATTAAACCGACCTTCGGGTAATCATGTCTCATAACGAAAAGAGTAAGAAAAGCTGAATGGGAATTAGTCTGTTGAAAGCAAAAGAACTGAAATTTTTAAAAAAGGGTCAAACATTTGCAAGAAATATTTATTTATATTGACATCTTTTATGCAATCCCGAAAAAATTCCATACCAAAGTTTGTCGCGTTACGGACTGATAAATCTAATGACTTCTCCTCGGGTAATTTTCCCCCCACGGGACTGAGTACACAGCTTCGGTTCTTAAACTGAGTGCTGAAAATTCTGAAGGCAAGAACACGCTACAACTGTGTTCTTCAATTTCACAATTTATTTGCATAATTATCATATCAAATGCTGCCTGGTGTTATGTTATGTTTTGCTATTGTTATGGTTGCATTTTTGAAACCATAGAGCTTTTGAAATGAGTCACAGTGAGGCCTTTGTCACAACACCGGTCATACTGGTAGAGAATTAATTCTGAGCTTTCGCCGTAACTAGAGCCTCGTTTCTTGTAATTTTTATTAGCTAAATCGAAGGAATAACAGAGCTTTTGAGTCCATTCTTTTGAGTTTGGAGATGCAGCGGTGACCATCGGCAAATATTAGGTGTGACATCTTGTACTGCACCAACAAACGCTGGCGCCCGTTTTGTTAAATCCAGGAGCAGTCGGGTAAATTAAACGGCTTTATGAAACAAACTTTAACTTAACATAAACGCTTTTCCACTCGTTTTATTCTGTACACCACTAAGGCGTAAACTATTGAAACAAGTATTTATATTTCTACATACCCAGATTTCTTCCAGGCTAATTATTCCCTAGAGCTGCAGTTAGTTTCCGAAAGTGGCCCTATAGGATGGAAAAATCAAAGAGACTTTCTTAAAGACCAAAAAAGTCATCACCGAAAAACAACAATAACCATGAAAACCTCTCCAGGCTCAAAGCGAGAATGCACGGGAGTTTCATTATCATAAAAAATACTCTCATTTCTCTCACCATTTTTAAACAGATCATCAAGCTAGTATCCTCCTTTTCTTCTCTTGGTTTGATCAGCAATTCTTGGAAGTTAAATTTAGGGTCATGACAGTCGCTTCATCGCAGCATTCGAAAAAGAGTCCTATGTTCGTACTCACAAAACTACGTATTTCCCGCTTTGACAAATTATTCAGTTGTTATCCTCACCTTCTTGGAACAATTTGATGCTGATTGGACAAAACCCATTGCTGTCAATGACATTTTTCACAAGTGGATGCATAGTATGCAAGTGGATGCATAGTATTCCCAGAGGGGGGAAAATATAAGGGCACCGACTTTATAGAGTTTTATTTTGCAAGAGAGCATTATCTTAGATTACGTCAATAGGATAATGTCCGAGTTCCGCCAAATTCTAGATTATGACCGAGCGCGTAGCTTGAGGTATTAAAACAAGAGTGGCATCAACATTCAGAATACTTGCGTGATAACGTGCTAGTGAAGTTAAAACGTGTGGGTTTCTTTGTTGCATTCCGAGGCTCATTCTCGGTGTAAAATCCTGTATCCTTCACGAGTGGAATGAGGGCTATCTTAGAAATAATAACCTCAAGTTACGTGCTAGGTGATCATTTTTAAGAAGGCCTCGAGGCTCAGGCATTTTACTACCGTACAATCCCGATGCCTCGAACACTACGTTTCTCGAGATTCGCAATAACTTGAACTACGCCTAACTTCCCTTCACCGGTCAAACACTGTAATTTAACCGCCCCTTCTTCAAACTACCCGATAATTCGAACCAATTAGCTTTTCCTAAGGTGGTTCGAAAAATCTGGTTCCCACTATATGTCCATAGATCATTTTTGACGAAAAACTCACGGAGTAGGCCAAAACAGGTCACAGTGTAGCTCATTCACACACTACACCACCTGTATAGAATACACCAATGGTTTTAACGATGCGTGGGCCGGCTTCACAGAGGGTATGCTCATTCCCATATCACTTTACAGGCCCCACTCCTTTAAAAGGTGCATAACGCTACTCACTTGATAAATCTGTATCCACTGGATATGGCAATTGACCACTCCAGAAAATACCATAACATACCATAATGCTCTTTTGTTTGTCACCCCAAAATTTTGCATAAACATTGTTTTCAGATTCTCTTGGGGCCATTTTAACTTCCAAGAGAAACTGAAGACAATGCTTATGCAAAATTTTGGGGTTGCAAACAAAGAGCATTAAGGTATGTTACGGTATTTTCTGGAGTGGTTAATTGGTTTCCGTAACACTTTTCCAGTGGAAAACGTTTAATCCGATGAATAGTGCTATCCAGCTTTTGAACAATTGAGGCCAGGCCACTTTCTTTGTCGTCTCCAATGCCAAAGCAATATGTCTTGTGATCTTCAAGTAGCCACTAAGAGAGCGTGATTTTGAGGAAAGAATTCCAGTTTACTTAAAAGGAGTTTTTTTTACTTAAATTGAGTTTTTAATAAGCAGAATGGACGCACATTCGAATCACAAAGTCAACTATCACACGATTGAAAAACGTCTCATGAAAATCTTTCCAGGCAAGCAATTTGCTTGCATTCGAAGCCACAGCTAACATATGCGCCGGGCCATTGAAATTTTGCGAACCACCTATCAGAAGAGTGGCTCACAGCCATGGGAAGTTAAAAGCTCGAGACCAGGGGGCGAGACATTACCAGCGCAAATCAAACATGGCGTCGAATATGAACCGAATTGTATTTATTCGAGGTTTGAGGCTCGCTTTTAAGGTTACGACACTCCAATTTTTCTAAGATTACACAGGATTTAGCAGATTCCGTAGACTCACGAGGTTTAAATTCATCCGTGACGACGGCTAACAACCTAAAACTTACGTCATCGCGCACAATCGACTTTTTTCAATCATGTCTGGTTTAAACAGTTAAAAAGAAAAACGTTAGAAACCTTTTAACTTAAAATCTCTTTTTATTTTGCACTTTAGATTGTTGAAGGATCTTTATGCTAGCGAATGAAAGGAATTCTTGTTTACTGAAACAGGAACCTGAATATACAAATCAAGATAGCAAAATGCTATTCAATTTTTTTCCAGCTTAGAACTTAAGTTTACTTGACTAACATCATCAAATAATCACTGTATAATTGTGTACAAGGCAGGATCATATCAAAATGTTCTACCCGGCCCAGGAAACTGATAATAGGCATTCCAAAATGATAATCGTTGTAAACAGTGGGCTATGAAAAAGTTAAGCTATTAAAATTTCAACCCTTTATAAACCCTACTATCAACGTACAAATTTTTCACACTGTTTTCTATACAACTTCTGTCGTTCTATTGTGGAGAAGTTGTTTACTCGAAACTTATCTTGTTTTGATATGTTACAGAGAAAACAGATACAGTTTACTCTTAGGGCTTGAAGGGTTAAGGTGCAGAATTTTTTTATCATTATACGTTTCTGGGAAACTGCCCACTTACCCCTCCCCTAAGCCAACATTTTGCCCTAAGAGAGAAGTAAGTGTTAATGTTAGCTTAGGGGAGGGGTAGGTGGGTAGTTTTACAGAAACCTAAATTCATCCCGTTATATGTCAACCAGGAACAAGTTCAAATATCTCTTGTCACAGATATGATGCTTCAGCCGTAACTTCCAGGCAGCTCTAAACCTTAGATTTGTGTAAGAGAGAATACTAACCAAATCCGTCTATTTAGTAAAAAATAAATAAATAAAAATAAATGAAATAATGGAATTTTACTCGTGTTTCTAACTACAACAATTATCGGAAATAGATCATTCAAATTACATCTTAAACTCAAAGAGGAACAGATATCTCAATATGGAAGGGGCTGTGTGTTTTTTCATTGTTTTATCTTCAAACATTATGCAAAATATATACAAGCTATTTAACAAGAACAATGATGCGACGACCTTATGGTCAAATATAAAACTGCACCAGAAAAACATGTCTTTTCTTCAAAAGAAAGATACGATAACGCAACGTCCAATTATCAAGCCTGCAGTAGAATAAACCATATAAAAATGAAAAAATGGAACAACAGGAGCGAACTATCAAGAACTTGAAAAAAGGAAGATCTTAGCGAAGATCTTCTCTTGCAAAGAGCTTACTCCTTAACACAAACGCCAATTATGGAAACTGGTCGAATTTTTGCTTTTTTTTTTGCTTATAGCTGATATAGACCACAATATAAATGGAAAGAGGTACCATTCGCCACTTTACAAACGAGTAGGGAACTGGAGTCGAAACGTTTCCTGCAATTGTTTGTGGGATTGTTACTGGGGAGGCACCGGTCTGCTATTGGCCATTCTCTAGTAACAGTCCCAGAAATCTTTGCGAAAGTTAACTCGGTCCAGTTTTCTCTCGTTTCTAAAGTGACGAATGGCGTTTTCTTTCCCCTCGATTTTTCGTCTTTTTACCAGCTCTAATCCGTGTGGTGCTATTATCCCCTCACAAATACCCCTGCACTAAACAGTTCGTACGGCAAGTTTTGTAATTCCCAAAGACCAAACATTGCGATTCCGAAAACCGAAATTTTTCCTTATTCCATTCAACCTCGTTCCTAATGTTCCATTCTACTCGTCCCCCGGTGTCACAGTGATATGGGAACCCAGCGTTTTGGGCATCCCCATTCCAAAAATCCTAGTGATATGGGCATCCCCTTGTCATATTACCGTACAGCGATTTGAGTTAGGGTTAGGGTTACAGCGGATGACCATATCACTAGGGTTTTGGGAATGGGGATGCCCAAAACGCAGTGAAGCCCAGATCACTGACGTGTAATAGAGAGCCCTGGAATCGAAGGGCAACTGTGAATTTAATATAAATTCACTGAATGTGTTAACTACTCCAAGCATATAATTTTAAGTATTCGTTTTTTTAAATCTGTAATCACCTGAGACAGGTTTGTTGTGTAAGAAATAATTTTATATCTATCAAAAATATACATATTTTTGGCTTTTTTATTGTTAGACTATGTAGGTAACATTCCTTTCGGCTAACCAATTTTCCGATAAACGTCTCTGTAACGGGCACAAAAGGGGACTCATATTGTCTCTTTCAATCCGAGAGTAGGAGAGTGAAAGTTATATAAGGTGGCTCTAACTTCTAAGTCTGTGGATAAAATTCTATGGTGTTACCATTCAAATGAAACCTCTTCAGCAGTACTTTCACATGGAACTATTTATTGAGTATGCAGTTCTAACTTTTGAGCCTGTGAATGAAATCCTATGGTGTGACTATTCAAGTGAAACCTCTCCAGCAGCACTTTCACATAGTACTATTTATTTCGTCTGTTGTTCTAACTTTTGAGTCTGTGGATGGAATTTTATGGTGTGACCTTTCATATGGTGCAATTTGTTGTTCAATATTTCACTGAGCGAAATTGGAAAATGTTTACTTTTGACTTTGGCCACTTTTGGGACTGAAAGGGTTATGAATGTACACACCCTGAACTAGGCGAATAAAAAGAGCGTCACTGCCAAAGTGAAGATGGAATACATACGACAGAAAAGTTAACGCGGATTTGGATTCGCCAAAAAGAATGCTTCCACTTGACTTAACTATGTAATATAGACGCTATTTACTATCTGTTTCTATTAACATTCTGGAGCTTAGAGCTGTGTAAATCGATTGGATAACCTTGAACTTCCCGTTTCATCTCCTTCTCTCACATAAACTCCACCTACGAAGTCTCTACGAGAAGGATTCCCTTTAGGGGTAGCCATACTTGCCTCACGCACTGTTACGGTTTCTCTACGGGAGGGGCCCCTCGGCGGGATATTTTCACTGGGGAGCAGAGACCTCAGTCGAGCGATTTCACATCGAGATTCGTACAGGTCCACTGTTTGCTGCATGGCACGGTCCTGTATGTCACGGTTTTGACGCTGTAATAACTAAAGAAAAACACAAGCCTTTAGTCAGGTTAAACTCGGTAACAATTGAATTGGGCGAAAAGTTCCCAAAGTTTGTCAAAAGAGGTCCTATGAAAGGAGGCGATTTTGACGAAAATTTCCCAAATTCTTATCAAACAGTCAAATTAGATGTTTGAATTAAATAATTTAAGGTCTGTGCAGGGAGTGAAATTTTTACTCGAGGGAGCTTGGAGCTTTAGCAACGACGACGGCGCCGGGGAGCAAAGAAAAATGGCATGATGGAAATGCAAAAACAGAGAATTTTAACACTATGGGAGATTTACACTGACCGCGTTTTGCCGGACCAGGTCGAGTTTCTCGCATTTCAGTCTAGCGATCTCGTTTTTAAACATTTCGATTTGCCTGGAGAAAGATTCTAAAAAGAAACGACAAACAAAATAAAATGTTAAGTACGTCTTAGCATACTAAAGCTATAGCATATTCGAAAAACATGAATTAAAAGGGCAATGATAATGAACTGGAGCACCTCCTTCGCACACATCGATCATCGTCACCGGAGCAGTTGGCCGAGAGGGTTTGGTACACTAGATCCCAATCCTCAACTCTGAATATTTACTTCCCTCGACTGGGTTCCAGTCCTCGCTCCTACTCATTTCACACTGCGACGAAAGATTTTCAGATCGGCGCGGAGATCACCGTTGGTATGTGTGAAGAGAAGCCCCCATCCGGGATGTTTTTCGCGCCGGCGCAAAGGTTACTTAGATTATTTGTTTCTGTCATAATATTTGAGTAAAAACGATTAAGTTTATTAACAGTAAATTATTATCACTGACCCGTACAAAGGGGATTGTACAAGGATTAATCAAACACGGAATTCCGAATTCTAAGGCTACACAATATTGTGGGCATTACAATACAGGTCTGTCTGTCTTAAAAAAAACTGCAAAACCTTCTTAATCATTTTCAAGGGTCCAAATATTTAGCACACAAGAACTAATTGAGGACACAATCTTTTGGAGACGAGACCGACTTTTTAAGGTATTTATGCGAGCCACTGCGGAATGTCTACCGGTTTACAGGGCACAGACAGTACCTTCTTCCACAGTTTTATATTTGTCCGGCCCGGGAATGGAACCCGCCACATTCCGTTGCACAGAACAACGCTTTACTGACTGAGCTAACTACCCTGCTGTCAAGTGAGATGGAATAATTATTGATAAATGTCAAGTACTCACCACTGGAAGATAAATCCTCAGTCGATAAGAGACTATCACTATCTAATTTGGGAAGAGACGATGATCTTTCCAAAAACACCTGAAGAAACGATTTAACGATTTACTATGGTTATCAAGCACATGAAAAAGAGAGATTTACTACACAAATGGTATAATGCTACCACACAATTTTTTTTTATATAAATACTTCTCAAATGAGCTAAGTCACTCTAAACATAGCGCAACGAAAATAAATTCCTTCACCATTTGCACGCTTTTGAAACCTTTAATCGTTGTTCACCTACTTTACTTTTCAACAAGTCAACTTAATCACTTGGGCCTTACTTGTTAGCGGCGTTACCGTCAATTTTTAAATATTTTTGAAGACAGAATTTGAAATTTATGAACGAAGACGCAAGCACAAAAAATATTTGGCTTAAGGGTCAACCTTTTGAATTTCACGGAAGGCGAATGCTAAAAATTAGAGAAAAAAATCTCCAATTGTATCTTACTGTTTATATTAAGTGAAACGAAAAAACGCACGCTGAAGTAGTCTGATTTGAACGGCAACGATATGATAAGTAAAAAAAAAATTGGGGTCTGACAACAATGTCGACATCTTTTGGTGATGTTACTAACAGGAGGAACGGGAACGGGAACGGGAAGCGGGAACGAGGAAACGAAGAGTGGGAAAATGGGAAATTGGTAATGAAGTTACTAATAGGACGAGGGTAAGATACGTTATGTTCCCATTTTTCGTTTTCTCGTTTTAGTATCATCTCTCTTTTTGCTAAGGGTGTCAAACTTGGCGGCTTCAAAAAATTAAGGTGATTTCCACTGTCGCGTATATTTGACGTGCGTACTTAGGTAAAGTTTACGCGCGTAAATAGAATAAAGATAATGTATGGAAGGTCACGCGTTAACGTAAAAGTTGAACCTCGCTCACCTTTTCCTTTTACGCGTGACCTTTCATACATTGCCTCTATTTCATTTACGCGCGTTAGCACGGACTTTGGAAATCAACTCCTAGACCCATGAAATCCCGTGACTGCCGAACTAACCTGCTCAACTCTCTCGGACTCTGGATCAGACGGATCAAAAACACCTGGTGGCACAGAGCGGGGCCTGGAATCCGCAATATCCAACAAAGGAGAAACAATAGCAGTTTTCTTTTGTTTCTGCGCAGGGACTGGAGGCGAGTCGGCGAAGGAGGGGTGCTTGGGACTGTTCTGAGCATTCACAGCTTTTCGACGGAGATGCGGTGAGCTGGTTGGTGATCTACTAAAGCTCACAGGAGACTCCACTCTCTCATCTCGAGACCTGCGCGGTGACTCCGTGAACGATATGGAGTATTCTGAAGCACTCGAGTTTACCTGATAATAATCGTCGCTTAGTCGACCTTCTAAACTGTCCCTTCGGGAATGCATCGGCGATCTATCGTACGGTAAAAGTCTTATCGGTTCATCTGCGTTATCTTCGGAACCCGAGCGATACCCTCCGACATACCGAACTTGGTATTCCACAGCTGAACTTCCCTCGTAAGACACCCGAGACGAGACCGAAGAATCGGAGACCCGAGGAGGAGACCTCGGGCCACGATCTGGAACACCCAACGCTGGCACCGACCGCGCAAGCGCCACGGGTCTGCGCAAGCGCGGTGATATCTGCGGCGAAGTTGTGAAATCGCTGGTGTTCTTATCTCTTCGTGGTTCTGGGGTACGAGATCGTGCCACTTGCTTTCTTGAGTACGTCGTCTCCTCGTCACGATTCCGTGACAACTCGGAAATGTTGGATTCTGAACTGGAATCTTCTGCTGTAGTGTAAAACACCGTACTGTTCTTGTTCTGCTCTTGGGTAAGTGACTCCATACTTTTACAGCGGACTGCGCTCTCCCTGACAGAAAACACAAACAAAACTGAGCATTAACTCACTTGTACTCAGTAGTGAGAGGCAGCGTGGCCGGCCGAGCGGTTAGAGCGCTGGACTTGATATTCGGAGATCACGAATTCAAATCCCCCCCCTGACAGCTAGCTCGACTTGTTCTCGGTAGTCCCGAGTTCAAATCCTCGATCACGCTTGTAAATAGCCAACTGGTTTGCCTCCGGTCAGTTGGGATTCTTATCCCCCATTTAATATGTATGCCTTAAATTATTTGTTTCAGGTATTTGCTCGGGCCTACTAGCATTGGTGCTTTAAATACTACCAAGGGTAAATAAAGGCGAATTTATTATTTTTTTGTATTTTACTGGTTTTCTCGTTACGACATGTTGAGATCGTGTCAACTCTTTTCTTCCGTAACAAATACAATACAAAGTTCTTTCAACGACAACAATGCACTGATTTGGAACAATCAATGCAATTGTTAATCCTGGGACCAATAACACTTTGATGTTTCCTTTTGGATGTTGAAGGGTGATAGTCTCTCTGGCGAGAAGGTCTGCCGGGTGGCGAGGTGACCAAATTCCAGATCAAAGCGACATGTTTGATAAGCAAATCAACAACGTTGTACCCATACAACTTTTTTGAGTATAATATTGTTGAATTGCCCTCTTCTTCACATCGATGACTTGACATTTGCCATTGTAACCTTCTGTGAAGGACTTCAACGCACGACAAACTGCATCGTCCACGAACGACTTCAATTGTCTTTTCTAAAATGCTTCAATGGCGAGAACTTTTGAAATGAGCGTAAACCGATATAGTTTATGGCGTAAAATATCACACATTAAACTCACATTTTGAATATTTGTGGCGCAGCTATTAGGTAGAAAATTACTGTTTCATCATTCGCCTTACTTATGACGAACACAAATTTTTAAAAGGGAAGACTAAACTAAATTTTTATTTGTTTGTTGAAACGCAACATTCGGTCAATCCGGTATCTCCCAAAACGTAACAAACGGGAAAAAAAAATTCCACACGTTTCAGGAATTTAGGTTCCAATTGGATTCCTGCCCGGAATTTCCGCCTGGATCGGTCGTGTACGAAAGTGCCTCGATATTCTTCTCCTGTGGCTGTGAGGTCATTGATCGCTATATATTTTCCCATCGGAACCAAAGATCCTACCCCAGCGTGTAATACATTCAGGGAAAAAGGATACCCATGCCTGAAGGCTTGTGTTTAAAAACAATTACCATAAACCAAGTTTGTTTGATAACTGAATAAGGTTATCTATTAACCAATCTGATCGTTGACCTTAAGGAAATCGTTGGAAGTGTAACAAGGTGTCTACACCATAGGGTGATATCTCTTTAGGGGGCAAATCTTAAACGAATCGCCACTAGGTTGGAGTGACCAAAGAAAAAATGGACCGACATTTCCCCCCCAAATCTTTGACCACTCTGGTCCGAAGTTCACTAAAAAACGACGTGTTTCAACACCAAAAGTGCTTATTTAGGTCTGCAGTATGACCTAGTGTCTCGCCAAGCCATTTGAGCACAATTTGAACCAAAACAGGCCATCAAATATCCCTTTTAGCCCACTCTGGCTCTCGTATCAGCCCGTCCAAATCAGCCCTAGAAAATTGGAATATATTAACCCTGACTAGAACAGCAAAATTGTACCCAGTGGTACACTGTGTTTTGCTCACTAAAGGAGCTCCAAATCCGGCTCTGAAACATTTTTCGAAGTGGGAACTTACAGTCAAGTTTCTTTTTGTGGTCGAAGAAGCGAGAATACACGAGCTAAATCAAGTTTAATTATCAAACTTACTTTTTCGGTAGCTTCGATGATTTCTTGGCTGCCAACAGACTCTGAACAGATTTTCTTCTTTCCTTTGCCTAAGGGAAAGTTAATTAAAATTATATGCCTAATCGGGCGCTGAATTAACGCAAACTGGTTAGAACTGTATAACAGAAACAACGTGTTATTTCAAACTGCTGAAGGCGATGTATATGACTGTATACAATTTTTTCGGTGAAAAATTTACAACGTTTTTAGTATTCACTTTTTGAAGAACTGGGTCATGCAAGGTGTCTAACATTATACAAGACCACACCTTAACTTAAAATTAAAGAAAGAAGTTCCACATTTTATTTTCTAAAATACTGAAAATAAATAGTACCACGTGAAAGAACTATACGAGAGGTTTCGTTTGAATGGTAACACCATAGGATTTTGTCCACATACAGTTTGAACTACATACAAAATAAACAGTACCATGTGAAAGTACTGCTAAAGGCGTTTCATTTGAATGGTAACACCATAGGATTTCATCCACAGACTCAAAAGTTAGAACTACATACTAAATAAATAGTATTATGTGACAGTACCGCTTAAGGGGTTTCATTTGAATCGTAACACCATAGGATTTTGCCCTAAGACTCGAACTGAGAACTGATCTGAGAACTCCCTCGGATTGTAAAGTTAATCTTTACCCGCTCACCTTCTTTGCCCAGGATTTAGGAAGACTATCATCAGAATCCGGATCATCAGCTGTTGTGGGTGTTTCTCTCATGGACATTGTGCGACTCATGGGGCTTCTGCCGCGCCACGCCGTTCGAATTGATTTGAAAAGTTGACCGCGGTTCTTTGGCGCAACCTGGTGCAACAAAAAACACAGCGACTTTTACAAAGTGAATTTCTTTGTGTAAAAGTGACTTTATATATCTCAGGTTTTCTAAAAAAGAAAACGCAGTAGTGTAACAAAAACCGAAAAACTATCAATTTAAGTACCTCCTCGCATCCTGCGTCAAGTATAAGGGCGTTCTTTTCTAGTAAATCACTTGCCAAGCCTCGCAGTAAACTGGAGCGCGTCCGATCCTGAAACATAAACCGAACAATTAAGTTACGAAGGTTGGCGCATGAGTTCTAAACTTAGGTCGCAATTTTTGCAAACCGTTTGGTACGGTACGTAATAAGGTTAGCGATTGGCGCAAAACTGTACCTAGAGGCTCTAATATTTAGGATTACGGACGTAAAACTGTACCCATGGACGTGATAATCCTGCCTGATGCTTCGGTCGGGAGAGGTTTTTAATCGATGTTAACAAATAAACTATAGCAGATTTGTACTCACCCTTAATTCAGTAAACTTGGCACTGTTATAAGCAGCTAACTCTGCATTGATTAGCTTCGTTAATAGAAACTTGCGGAACTCGGGGCCCTTAAAGAAACACAAGGTTTAAACGCATCAAAGATGATAGTTCTGATTATTGTCGGATGAAGACTCCTTTCCACCTGGGCTAATTACCTTCTTATCCATAATAACATATAGATTAAGCCAGGGTTAAGAGCGAAGCTCTCGTTAATATACTTATAATTTACTCAAACAAAAAATAAAATCGAGCAATGCTAAACGGTGACGGCAACGAGAACAGGCAAAAAAAATTAATAGTCTAATTATCAACAAAAACACAACTTTGCAGGAGGAGCACACTTTTTTGTATATTTCTTTGCCGTTATCTTGTACGACCACGACGTGACACCTTCTAGTTACACATTTTATGGAAATAAAATGTCGTGTGGTCGTATGTGCTCTCCAAAGATTTTGTTGCTTGTGTTCTTGTTCACTTTTTTTTTCACTGCTAATCATTTTTACCTTGCTGGTTTTTCCTCGCTGACCGCTAGCATTTCTCATTTTCTCACCGCCGATATAAAATTTTCATGTTGTTTTTCCAACAAAATTCGTCTCCTTTGTCTGTTATCTCTCGCTCTAGTTTTTCTCTGTTATCCACGCCAGTGTAGACAGTAAAACTTCGTCGAAAAAAACTCGGCATTGTTGTTGTTTTTTCTCCCTAAAAGTCCGGGTGGCCACGCAATTTCGCGCCAAAAACCTCGAGTGCCATTTGGCTTGCCATACGTGTTGATTGAGTTATTTTAGATTGGTATGCCTGTGGTGCGAAAGGACTCGCAGGAGGGTGGACGAACGTTCACGTGATTACTAAAATTTCTCGGATGCAGAGGTAACCCCATTTTTTGGTTAACCATGGTTCTCTGCGTCGCGTGCTTCGCGCGCGAGAGAGCTCCGCTAAAATTACATCACGGTCAAATGATTCAGGTTTTGTTTTATTTCAAGGAATTTCATTTACCACGAAGACGAAAACACCAAGAAGAGCATAAAGGAATAGCCAGTAAGTGCATCACTCCCGAAGGAAATCGCGTTAATAAAGTCGACAAGTGTAATTTTGTTAAGACAAAAAGTAGCAGCGAAACATCACACTGGAAAAAGGGGCAAAATTTAAACAAAGAAAATTAATAAGCACAAAAACCCCCTTTGATCGTGGACAGTAGTTACGTTAACTTTAAGGTACAACGAAATGAGATCACATGAGCACACACCTTTTTAAAGACGGCAGGATTAGGGAGTTTGGGTCCAAAATGTGGAACATCTTCGCGGGCAGTCACAGAGACCTGAAATAAAATCAAAAATAGTGTTGTCAGTGACAGAACTGGTGTTAAGTGTCGCGATAACTTCTGTTATTATTCACTCTTTACCTTGTATCTTGTGTTACTTGTATTTGGGTCTTCAACTTGAACCACTATGAACACGTGTAAAAAATGTGATCGGATAGAAACCGGAGAAAACGGCGTGTTTTCATCCTGAAAGAAATCAAAAGCATGATATATTTGATAAGGAACAACTAAAATGTGGGCTTCTCTGTTTCTTTAAAGGAGGTGAGTTAGAATTCACCAAAATTCAGACAACATAAGCTGTCGCCGAATAGTCCATTCCCGAGTTGTCCCAAGCCTCTGTTTCAAAGCGAGGCTAAGTGCGAGGCCATTGATATGGAAATTCTCACGTAAACAAAACTCGTATTCAGAAGAAAGGTTTTGCTCTTAGCCTCGTTTCTAAAGTCAGGTGAGAGTTTTTGGAACTCGGAAATGGCGTATTGAGCAGAACACAAAAATAACCGCTATAAGGCACGGGTGGAAAAACTTGAAGAAGATTCAAACGGACTGCAATTTTGATGTTTGAAAACTTCTTAACCTGACATTCAAAGTTCATTTTTGTTGTTTGGAACGTTTGATATACTGCTTGAGACACTTTTTTTGAGACAAAGCTATGATGCTGTCATTTACAAGTAATTTCCTCTTTAACTTTAAATTCTGTAGGGTAAGGACACGTAATTGCATGGCAATACTAACAAACTGAGCTAGGCAGCCACAAGGCGGCCCTGCAACGCGTCCCCTCTAAATACTGTAACTATCACAATGATCCCTCCGAAATTTTCCCACCGTGATCACAAAGACTTAGCCCTAGTAATGACAGTTATCAAATTCTCTTCACAAAATCACGGCATAATCAAGAAATGAAGTCATGAGATTTAAGCCAATAACCACCCAAAACTTTTGTGTTGATCTTTTAACAACTTCTCCTAAAGTAGCTTACGCTATAAGAAATTTATGGAGGCAAGTAAAAAAAAATGTAGGTGTTTATATTGGGGTATAAGGGTCTAATACGATTGGAAGCTGTGCTGTTACTTACTTGGAAAACAATTGCAACAATATCATTGCCAATGTGCCTCTTTCTTTGCACCTACAATTCGTACAAAAAAACTGGTAAGATACACTGTATATTGTGAAAGAGACTCGTAATACAAACTTAACCAAAAATACTTTTTATTTAGACGAGAGTTTGTAGTTATACAATTTATCTGGAGAGTCCACACTCCTCCCACCCTTTCGGTCGGAGTGACTGATCATGTTTTGTAGTTCTAACTTTTGAAACGTGGACAAAATCCTTTGGTGTCACCATCGAAACAGAACTTGGCAGAACTTTCAGGCAGTTGTGTAGGAGCTGCTCGTAAGGTCTCTCCTGATTGGTTGCAGAAAACAACGACATGTCATTCTTTCAATTGTTTCAGTATTGTTTGGGGTCAGGGTTAGGCATCATTGGTGATTTCTCTTCTGAGCAGCTGCTACATGACCCCTTTCAGGTGGCAATACTAATTTTGTTTTTCAGTCAACATTTCACAAACTGAAATTTGGAAATTTTGTTGAATTGTGGCTTTGGCCACTTTGAAGGGCGGGGGGAGGGGGGGGGGGGGGAAAAGATAAATAGACATGTTCTTTGATTTTCCTCAGTCACTGACTTGCATGAAAGTAGCCGGGGGGTCACGCTTATAGTATCCGGGGAAAACCCCCGGGACAGCACTGTAACACACATTATTACCTGTTGACTATCACCATTACTGAATGGAAGAAGGGTGGAAACGTGGAACATAATTTCCCTGAGGACAAAAAAAAAACAGTAAACATAAATAAGGAAAATATAACCAATAAAGTGAGAAACACAATCTCTGTGGGTAAATTAAAAAAACACCAGAAAACAAAAATGCAACATTGAAATAATTATCTAAACTGGTTTTAGTTATGTATTGACACTAACCACATGACTATTTCACAGATAATTGCGTGTTTAACAGATACTTGAAGCAACTGCACCGCGAATTAAAGTTTACTTCTATTACGCAAACATCATGTTTGAAAAGATATTTGTAAGTAATTATGAGATTTTCTCTTTGGATTCAAGATCTTTTCTGTGTGACAAGATCAAACAGACATTCATTTAAAACAACTGGCTAAGGAGCTGATCACTTTCATACTTGGAATCGAAGACTGAATGAATGGACGTCTCTCCTGTTTGGCCATGCTTTACATCTAAGCCACCATTAAACCTGAAAGAGATAAATTAAAATGAAAGTTTAATTTTTTGGTATAAATTATCATTTTCCTATAGAGAAAAAGGACAATGCACTGCTCGATAAAACGTTTGGAAAAAAAACCCTGAAGATTTGTAAACGTCACCTTTAAGTTCAGAAGCTCACAATAAGTACTTTTCAATGATGCCATTTGTTTCCCAGCATTTTGAAAAGTACAATTCCAATTTGGCACTTTACCCCCTCCCCCTCATCAATGTCTCTTCTTACAATATCCAACAACCTTTCTGAGGTCATGAGGGGAAGGGTGGGGTGTAATGGATAATTACAGGCTTGGCACTTAATATAACCATTATACAAAAGCTTACCCTTTGAAACTCTGGAGGGTGACCCGGTCACCCATCATCTCTAGAAACTCATTCATGCCAGCACTGTGAGTTCGGTTACAGAAATATTCTTCTTCTGTTGTCTGCAATCAAAACAACAGCCTACTTTACAAAATGCTAATTCTCCCCTCTAGAAATTTTAAGAGTGATGGGTGCTTTTGGCACAATGATTTCGTTTTGGTGGACAAGTGTTACTAAACATTTGTTAATAGTTGCTTTGAATACCATCAACCGATCATAACTAATACCGGTCCACCCAAACAGAAATACAACCCTGGATAATTTACTGGCTTATTCATCTACACTAAAGTTCAAAATGGAATTTGTGGGTTAGAAAATGGTTTTAACTAAGTAGTTTGATTTTTCATTGTCTCCTATAAGTCCATCCTCGGAGACCCAGGAGCAGATAGTGGGGGTGAGGGAAAGTCTTAAAGGGCAGAAAAATATGGCAGGAAGAAAAGTAAAGAACCGCGACAAGAGCCCCTGGGGACAATGTCTTACCAGACCAGTTCCAAACGGTTGCCACTGTTCTGACCTCTGATTGGTGCCAGAAAACGTTTGTGTTTTTCTGCCCAATCAGAAGGCAGAACGGCGGCGACCGTTAGGAACTGGTCTGGTAAGACATTGTCCCCAGGGGCTCTTCTCACCGTTCTTTACTTTTCTTCGTGCCATATTTTTCTGCCCGTTAAGACTTTCCCTTGCCCCCACTATCTGCCCCTGGGTCTCCGAGGATGCTATAAGTCCTATTATTATTCATGATTATTAATAATCATGTAATACCACCAATTTCCGTTTTTTGTATAATTATCCATAATCATGAATAATTAGGGTGAGGAGACCAATAAAATTGAAAATCAAACTAGGTTGATTTCATTTTGAGAGAACAGGCTGTGTGTCAAAAATTAAATAAATTATTACAACAAGTTCATTGTATTTGCTTTGTGTCAGAACTTTTTGTGTGTAATAATATTACCTGGCCCTTTTTCTGATAAATCACTCCAAACTTGAAGGCATGGGATAAGTTGTGTTCATCATACTTCACAATCAGTTCTGAGGCCTGTAACCATGGAGAAAAAAGGCAAAAAGCACAAAAACTACTCATCATTTTGAAATGTTTCTTTTCACACACAGAGATTATAGAACACTAAGTTTGCAGAAAACTAAAAAAAAATTAAAATAAATAAATAAATAAATACATAAGTAGAGCCAGGTACTAGCTATTGTAAATCTTGAAGCAAAGAAACAAAAACTTTTCATTTCTCAATTGTTTTCAGTTGTTTGTTTCCAGTTATTATGATGTATAAGAGAAAACAATGATTCCATCTTATGGGCACATCAGGTTTACTTTGTTGTCATAACATTGATATGACAAGACTTTTGCTTTGAAATAAGGTACAACTAAACCATGCATAACTACCTTGAGGACATGGTGTTAATGGCATGACAGTCTCATCAGATAACAAACTACTTTAATGCTTACAAAGACCTGCATTTTATTGACAATATACTTAAAGTTTTAATGGAATCAAATTTTTCTCTGTTTCACAACACATGTATGTACCTTAGGGTGTGCCAAAACTTGGAACTGGTCCACATTTTCTCCGTCTTCTCCCAGAAGATACTTAAAAGAAAGAAGATCAAACAACATTCTTTCAGTTGCAATACAAAATTAAAGCTTAACCCTCCATACAGTGTTTCTTTTCAGTTTGGGCCAAACTGGGTTTCTCATCCAGAGAAAAAAAATAAGAAGCAAGTTAGAGGAGGAATTCTTTGGGGGAGCGTGCAAGCATATTGCAGGAACAAGAGCACTTCACTCCTACCAATGTGGCCTAGGTTTCTATTCCTCCCATCAATGCCATTATACATGTATTTGGCTTGGGTTTGTTGTTGATTCTCTTCTCTGCTCCACAAGCTTTTTCTCCAGGTGCTCTTGGTTAGCTAACCCCCTTTTCCCAAAAACCAACATACATTTCATTAAATTGAAATGTACGGTAGAGAAAGAACCACACTGATGGATGTACTACCATGTAAGTCTTATTCATTTAGTTAAAACCAAAAGAAAATCATGAGACTTTCTCTGGGTACTTAAGAGGAAATTGAGGGAATTGATTTTAGAGATTAAAAATGATGATGATTGCATTGCCATTCTGATCAAGTTTCACAACATCAGTTGTGTGATGATGGCAAATAAATCTGCTAAAAAGTGTGTTGTGCTGTACGTGTATGTCCAGCATTTTTGTTTTGCTTATTAGACCTGTGGCTTTTTTATTTTCTCCTTTCCTTTGTCGCCATCCCAGTTGCTCGAGCTCACTAGTAGAGTTACCATGTGAAACAATTCTTGATATTATGGAACAACTTTTTTGGAAAACTTGCAGATTTATATAATGGAAAATGCACAATAAAAAGGATGTCTACAGGTACTAGTGCTGTCAACTCTCCCGGATAATCACCGAAGTTTGCCATTTCTTGTAGACTCGATTTCCGGCAATGACATTTTGAATATTTTGCGTTGTACTGCTAACATCGAACGTTTCCTCATAAACTCCAGTATGCCATTGTAATATAAGCAGTAATGTGATTGGTGGGAAGTAACGCGATAAGGTCAAATGTTACAAGGCCCGTTTAAGGCCAACAACAAATCTTTTTAATTTTTTCTTCACAAATGATGTCATGTGCAATGTGTTATGACGTCATATATTGACCATTCCCTATCAAATCTCAATATTTGAGGACATGGGAGGTAATGACAGCCCTGAGGTACCCATTCAGAGGGTTCAACACCACTGAAGGTTCTAAAAGGTTAAAAGAGAGAAAACTACAGTAAAACCAAGGGTAACATACATTTCTAGGTGCAAAATATTGCTATTTACATTAGGCAAACAAAAACCCATGCTGGCAAGTCTTACATGCTAGTCCTTACAGTACCTGGACAATTTGTCGACATTTTGAAAACAACATTATATACCTTGATAATTTCTCTTGGTCCTGGATTCTCTGATAGATTTTCTATGGGTAGTGAGTCCGCAATTGTCTTTTCTATAGTTCTGATACAAAAGAATGAGATAAAAATGACTAAAAAAAGCTATCAAATTAAGAGTGAAGAAAATAGAATTATTTATTTAACAAAAATTAATGAAGCCCAACTAGTAAGTTAATATTGACTGGTATTATAATTTTTTTTGGTATGTAGCTTAGTTATATCAATGTCTGAAGCACATACTGGCAAGTATACCACCAAACTTTGTTAATGCATCACAATCTACTACAGTCTGCACATGTATCAACCATGCATGTTTATAGCCTAAAGAAGGAAAGCCAGTCTAAACAGTACCTTAGTATAACTCTGATAAATCCTTGTGTATCACAGCCATCCAGCTTCTCGATTTCCTGTTTCACTGACAGAATCACTGGACCAAGCTTTTCATCATCGCAAATAAAGTTCAAATGTTCCTACAACATAAACATGTTCATGAGAATACAATCAACTTTTCCCTGTTGTTGGTCCCTTCCTCTCCATTTTTCAGTCATCTTTCTGTAACTAGTCTCCTTATATTATCTCATTAAGCCCTAAGTTAATGACCAACATCAATTTTCTCCTAAATATATCAGTACACAATCAAATAGAAAGGTTAGGAGAATCAATAATATGATCCTTAAAGAGAAAAATTAATGCTTTGGTCTTATTTTTATAACCTCTACTAATTCTTCAGGGAAAAGAGTGGAGATCATTATGGAGAATTTGTGATGTTTGCAATCTGGGCCTATTAAAATTTAGAAGGATTTATATGGAGTCATCAGAGCATATTAGGGCTTAAATCTTGCTGATTTTCAGCAAGTGGAAATTTTTCACCTTGCTCTTTCTGGATATGCTAACCAACCTCATAATTTCACAAATTTAGTTTTCATGATGTCATCAATTCTCTTCTCTATTGAGATAAACGTCTTTTAATAATGGTACATTGTAAAACATGTAGGACTGAGTGGAGTCCAATTCGGTCTGTAATCATGCAAGTGATTAACAAAATTGGACGACTGCGTAGTGAGAGTCCAATTTGTTTAATCACTATTATAATATTAGAGACCGTATTGGATGACACAAAGTTCTGTTGCCCATCATAAACGTATAACAAACTTAGTGATATTTTAAGTTTTTCTAAAATTAAAACACAGGATATTTCAAGAGTTTTTTCACTAAAAGTGAAAAACCCATTCAAGTGGACACACGATAGTGCGTACTGTGCTATTTACTAGACATGACATGTACTGTCCTATTATACTGTCTTATTTGTGCTGAAATGAGGACAGTTGATAGCCAATCAGATTTGAGGATTTTGTTATATGATTATGAAGATTACAGTATCTTCTAACTGATGATGAACGGCATCCTAATGATAACGATAATACCGATGACTTAAGAATGGTGACAGCCTAAGCACTATGATTAGCGGCGGGTAGACTGTTCATACCTTTCCTATGAAATCTCGCCTGTAGCTTTGCAGTATGTCATTTGTCTCTATCTTGCAGTCAACTGATTTCAAATCAAAGCTGGTAACCACATGATGATTGCTTCCTTCAAGCCAGTATTCACCTCCAACGGGGAGAACCACAAGTGGATAGGGACCTCCTGCAGCTAACACCTGAGATTATAGCAAAGATAAATCTGTGTCAAGCTGAAGAATACTTAGGGTGCACTTACCATTATGTCAGAATGGCCTTGCTCGACCAGTTGAGGCGTGAGGAGAATTCCACTAGTAATCGGAATTACACAACCATATCAGTTTATTCTTAATTGTTACGCACAGAAGTGATGAGTTAACCCTTCGAATCCTGAGCGCGCTTTTAGGCGCGCTTCCAAATAAGGTGTACATTTTGTCCTAAAAAAGGCTCCGAAAGGTTCCTTTTTTTGTCAAATGACACTTTATGATTCTTATATGAATTTGTTTATCGTATTATTCCATTTCAATCGGTTTTTCGCCATTTTGGACTAACTTTTTGGCAATATTTCCTCGCTGTGCTAATGATAACCTTTAAAAATGGCGTCAGACACGAATGGAGTTGATCGAACTATATTCGCAGCACCGGATTTTAGCAATGATCCAGGTTAGGTGAAGATTAGTCCCATTAAATGGACGAAGATACTGGCAACAATTCAGAGCTTGAGCGTGCAGATACACGGTGTGGTGGTCAAGAAAATATCGAAGAAAGAGAGCAAGTGGGTGCTTCAGTGGCCACAAAATGGACCGTGTCAATTGTAAGAGACTGCTAGAGGCAAACAGCTCTCCAAAGAAATGTTAAGTTAATACATATATATATTTTGAAACCCTGATATGTCTACTTTCTAAATATGTACGATTATAGGCACTTTTACCTCAAAGGGAACTTTTGAGATGTTATTTAGTGTATGTATGTCAAAACGTAAGCAATATGACAGAAAAACTAGGCACTCAAAGGGTTAAAGTAAAAAAAAAAACTAATCTAACCCTAACCCTGACTTTTGGAAAGCACCGTTACACTATTGGCAGTCCCCAGTGCTCTGACAATAGTGTGAAAGAGGTGAATATACAGAAAATGGAGTGTATGCTGTAACTGGCTTACTGCTGTTGTGGCATCCCTGCCTAATTAAGTACATGTATTGATTATTATTTGTTTTTATGTATCATGTAATAGGTCAAACTAATAAAATGACATAAAATAATTAAGTTCATCACCCTTTAACATAAAGAAGACAATAAACACTAACTATTAAAATTGTTACGGATTATGAACACAGGTTGCAAATTGATTAGGGAATGAGTGCTTTTTAAAAATTCCTTAATTAACCTAATTAGCCATGAGTTTACCATTTCTCATAATGAATACCTCTTTGACAGGATCAAGGTCCCTCATTTCGTCCTCTTCGTATTCTAGATCAGTCACGTCTTCGTCTCTTGAATTATCACTCTAAATTGCAGAAAAACACAATATTGTTGTACATTATTATCACATTTTTTAAGAAAATGAAAGAGTTAGAATAATGATAGTGAAGTTTGAAATAGTGCTTATTATTCACATCTGAGGAGACATTGTTTCCATTGCTTTTCCCGTCATGGTTACTTGAGCTAATTAATATACATATCATAAAAGACTATTAAAAGACACCAATGGTTTGCATAATACAAAAAATTTGTTATCAAAAGGCAATCTGTAAATAAAAGTGATCATTTTTTGAAATACGACATACAATAATAAATTTCAGTGGAACCTCGTTATAAAGAAGGGTCAAAGGACTGGTGTAAAGGATATCATTAGTTACACTGAAGACTTTGTTATATAGAGGTTTGTTATATTCAGGTTCCACTGTGCTCAGCATTACGACTTACATGTAAGCTGGCCTCTTCTGTATCCTTGCAATTTTCTGTTTTTCCAATAACAAGTGGCGGTATATATGCAGAATTTCTTAATGATAAAGGCAGTTCAGCTCTCTGTTCATCAATACGATTTGACTGAAAAAAAAATCACACTGTTAGAACCTACCCTGTTGTATTCATTATTCAAAATTGCTGACTTCTTGATCAATGCTTCTCAGAAAAACAGTAGACATTGTAACTTGGTTTTTTCTAGTTATTACCCTGGAATCTTATTTACAAAAAAATCTTTGTTACAACAAAACATTTTCAGGAATTATTTGTTCTCATCTGCAAAGAAAAGTTGCTGATTTAAGATTTGCTGTAACACCAGTAACAGGTGCATGTGTGAATTTATGTATCTGCATGACCCACATTAATTTGGCAGCAAGTAAAAATATCTCACCTGCAATTTTCCAATAAAATCAAAAAATTGATTTTGCTCTTTCTGTAGGCAAAGACAAAAGAAATGGATTATAAAGATGGGTTCTTGACCTTTTCACTCGCAGAATGGAAAAAGGTGCTACTGAACAATAAATGAGGCTTCATGTATTATCACTGAAGTTTCCTTACATTCCATGAGCATAATAACATGAAGCAATTTAGAAAGTAGATAATCTAGCAATGTAGAGGCGGGAGGGGGGAGGGGGATGGATGTGCTTGGCTTGAGGGTGGGGGGGTGGTCACTCCTACATTTTAGTTATATGGGAATGTGTCCCTCAACTATGTAGATTTCTTGCCTCTCTGTTTCTAAAAAAGGGTCTCACAATTACCCCTTATCTCTGGAAAGGGGCTATATTTTTCTTCAGTTTGACTTTGAAACAGGGTTAATTTTTCCCCATAAATATCCCTGATTATTCTTGATCAAGCTTAGGCGTGAACCTTAGCTCTTCTTGTCATTTTATAACTGAGCATTTTTTAAGCACAAGTTCCATAAGAAAAGGAAGGAGCTTTGTATGGAAACAAGGTCAACCCTAGCCTCATGTTTACTCAGGGGCTTGGATCCTAAGCCTATAACCATACAGGATGTAATATGGTCTACTAAGATCAATCTACTCTTAATTAAGCTTTCAAGAAAGTAGGGCAAGTCTTGTATACAGTTTTAAAATGTTACAGGCTAAATTTGATTTCAGGTAAAATAATTATCATTTCCTTTGTCTCCTGGAGGGATAGGAGACAAAGGAAATTGAGAATCAACCTAGCTTAAATCAAAATTCACCTGAAATCAAACTTGACCTGTAACATATTACATATATTTGTGTCAGTAAATTAGCATATTGGATACTAGCCCCTTTACAAAGCAAAATTAAAGAGTATTTACAAATTTAATTCACAGCACTCAAACGATACAGATTTACTGATTTCATTGCGACAAAGTAGCCAGTCTTAGGCAATCAAATGGCAATGCCAATTCTTTAATGTATGAGATTCTCTATTTTCATCTCTAATCTGGCAATTTACAGTCATCACTTCAATCATACCATTGCCATTCCAGTCTCAATAGATGGCATAGTCCCTGTGAAGGACCAGGTGCCGGGACGCACACAGGACACTGTAGTGTAGTTTGCTCCTCTATCATAGCCTTGCCCTACAAAACAAACAAAAAATACAGAATGTGGGGAACTGTGATTTCAAAAGATAAAACTCAAACATCACGTACGAATGCTGATGCTTCAAGTGCTGTATTGGTACAGACTGTTTATTGTTTACATAATTAACAATATTTCGCATTTTTATTGTGTGTATGAATTAACACCTAGCCTGCCAAACAACCTAAAGACTGAACTTAAATGCAACTAAGTTTTACAATACACTGGAAAAAAAATATTAATATTTGTTGGGATAATACACAGCAAGTAAAAACTCTATGCTGGTCACAATATTGGTTCCATATTTGTGCGACTGCATTTGCTTGGTTATAGTTCAAACAGAATAAAAGAATAACAGAATGTCAATAACAGAATCAGTCTATCTTCTCGCCAAAGTTATAAGTCTTTAATTTGTAATTACTTAACCAGTATTGATGCTGGATTTTATCACTTTTTTTGAATTAGCCAAACTAAGTTTGCTGCACATGTGTATGAAGCACGGAAGGAATGCAGAATTGTATTGATACTTGTAGGTGGGTTGAAAGATGTGAATAAACTTGTTGAGTTTTTGCCTAAAAGAACAGGCAAGCCTGTTATCTGATAAAATTGAAAAACTCTGGATTTTTGATCCAGATGCCTGCTCTCCAGTTCAGTTAATCTTCACATTGTACCCCCTAGTTCAGCATAATGGCTCATTAGTAAGTGGAAGAAAATAATCAATATCAAAGCCCCAGGGCTCAGCATAATAAAAATGTATAATACTGGTAATTCATAAAATAATCATTTAAGCCTGAAAACCATCAAACGCAACATTGGCTAAGAGATTCTGCTGATCAATATGATTTAAGTGACATAAAAAAATAGTGACGTAAATGTTTGTTGCAGACATGACCGCATCTTGCAACCAGGAGTTTTGTCTCAGATTGACCACTGAAATTGCTTTTCTAATCTTTTTTGTTGTTAGTGTTGCTTTTGAGGTTCTCCTCTTCCACTTTTGCAAAAATCATGATTTGCTTGCAAATACAATTTCTATGTAAAACACGACTGGAAAAACAAGTATGCTGAAGTAATTATTGTCACTCTTCAATACAATCATGGCCATGTCTTCCTTCACGTATTTTCTTGACTTATTTAAGTTCTTGTTTCAATCAATTTTAGAGAGTTATTACAAACTTTTCACTGCATTAATTTAACTGTGATGGGTCTCCATCAAAGATGAAATGTTGAACTCTTGACTGGGGGACCAGATTTCCTTGATTTGCATATGTATGAAAGAACTTTTTCGCATGACTTATGATTGAAAAACTAGTGTATGATACTTGTGGACTGTGAGCCTTTCTGTGGGCACCTGGAGATGTTGTTTTCATTACGTGTTTTCCACCAAAGCGTTGGTTTTTCAAACTAAGACGTTGCATATTATGAGTTGTTTTGCTTGGTAATGCTGTGAGTGAACTTAAGTAGCCATGTAGATGACCATGGAAAGGAAATAATGATAATAATAATAATAATAATAATAATAATAACAATAACAATAACAATAACAATAAATAATAATAAGCCCAAGATTAAAGCCTCCCCACATGCTGGCACCAACACAACATCCTCAAGAAGCCTGACATGGACCCAAAATGCAGACTGTGTGGCCGTTTCGACGAGACCATTGACCATCTGGTCTCTGGCTGCCCTGAGCTGGCTAAAACTGAATACATCCACTACCACAAAATGGCAGCTGCACACATGCACTGGAAGATCTGCAAGGAGTTTGGCATTGAGGTGAAGGAACAATGGTATGAGCATGAACCCAAGGCCGTCACTGAGAAGGATAGCATCATGATTCTGTGGGACATGCCCATCCACACTGACAGAACCATTGCAGCTAATAGGCCGGACATTATGCTAAAGAGCAAGAAGGACAAAACATGCCTTCTCATTAACATGACTGCTGTACCCCTTGACACCAACACCACAGTACAAAGACTTGGAAATCGAGGTTGAACGAATGTGGGAGCTCAAAACAACAACAGTCCCAGTGGTTATGGGAGCCCTTGGTACCATCAAGGAGGACATGGAAAACTACACCAACAAAACTCCTGGCAATATCAACATTCATGAACTCCAGAAAAGACTCCTTTCTACAGCCCACCTTCTCAGACGGGTCCTTTCCATCAAGTAGAAACCCTCTTTGCCTTCCAAAGTCCATGGTTTGGACTCGGATGTTGAGAGAGAAAATCACCAGCAATTACATTAGAATATGTTATATAATAATAATAGTAATAATAGAAGGAATGTATTGGAGTTCTAGAGTAAGGAGGAAAACTCTAAGGGGCCTTTTTAGCCATTGGTTGTGACTCATTCCCTTAACAAGTAAATTGTTATTAGATCAGCTAGTGCTCAAAGCAAGAAATAACAATAATAAAAATAATAATAATAATAATAGTAATGATAATAATGATAATAACAATAAAACATGTTTAATAAGCAAAACAAAATTTCTAGAGGTGCAGCACACTTTTTGGCCCATTTCTTTGCCATCATTGTCCCACTAATGAAAATGGCAATTGTTTATAATCATTGCTTTAACCTTTACGATTGTTGTTTCATTAATAGTCATGATTGCGACTTTGATTTCATTGCAAATACCCATAAGAGAGCCTTAACTGTTTTCATTAGGACTAAAACAGTTATGGATGTATATATGGCCATTTTCACATGACTGAACTTTGCAAAAGGGGTTTTGATAGATTCTTGCTATTGCAGCTTCTCCAACCCTTTTTTAGTTGGTCTAAAAAACTATATATAACTTTATCTGTTGAAACAAGGAAATTTGGATCAATACATATTGATATGATGTAATCATTTAAGACAGTCAGACAGTCAGTCAAGCTTCTAGCATTCCTTCAGACAAAAAAATTTAGCACCAAAACTTGATGTTTGTACATGTAAGGCATCTCTTCTAAGAAAATTTTCAGTTAAAGACGTTAATGGCAGGAGCTAGGACATCTTGATAAAATCGAAACTAATAACTAACTCCGTGTGGGTGGTTTGAGAGATGAGTGTGTCATGATTGAGAATAACACGATGACTTCACCTTTGTGGTTTTCGATTGTGAAGAACAAAGGATGAGCGTGTATAGATTATCACAATGAATAAAAATACAGCTACTATTTCAAACAAAGATTTTTTGTTCACATCATTTTGCCTCGATTTGCCTTAACTAGCAAAACAGAGTCAGCTGGCCGTAAAGACTCAATATCCACACTGCCGCCTACATCACCAAAGATAGTTAGTTACACAGATGTTTGAACACCCAGTCAAGGAATTATGTCGCTTCGCATGAATCACTTTTTAAAATTCTATAGAGAGCTATTAAAACATAAACAGTTAAGCTTCGAAGACAATGACATAACTGTTATTGTAAATTTAAAGGAAATCTGCCGCGTTTTCTTAAAGATGGATTTGAAACCTATATTTAAGACCATTTACCACATTTCGCTAAGTAATATATGATGATGGCATAAAAACATTGAGGTCTAACGAACCTTCAACGATGAAACAGGATTTGCCAATCAGCAGATTAAGACCCTATTATACTAGGAAATAGGTGTAATTAACTCTTTTGCCGCTGCTTGCAAAGGGAATTAAATTCAATGCAATAAACGAAAGAACCGATTACACGAGATCTCGACAAGAAATGTCTTTGATGGCAGGACTGACAATTTTCAGCAATTTTATACAACTGGGCAAATTTGTTTCACCAAAAGTGCTTGAATCGATTTACTAAATACCTTTAGCGCTAAGAATACCCAATTGCACTTAAGGAAGGAAACATTCTGAACAAATTGCTTTGAAAGCCGCGATCATAAGATTCCTTACAAATTTGTTCTTGTTAGAAGGCTTTATGACACAACACATGTGGTAAAATGTTATTCTTTATAATAACACCAGAAACTAAACAAACCTAATTGGAATTCCGAAGGCAAACAGCGAACCAAAATCAACGAGAAACATAAGCAAACACGTTTCACTTACCGTCAGCTCGGGCAAGAGGACTTTGTGATAATTTAAATGAGAAAGGTTTCGTAAAAATTCCAGTCTTCACAAGTTACCGCGTAACGCCTTGAACAAAGGGTCACGAAACTGGAGTTCGTTTTATGATCTTGCCGAACTCTATCCTATGTATTTGTCGCTTGTGATCAGGACAAATTTGTTGTGCAAATATTTATCTGCCAATCAACTACAGAAACAATAAAACGACTCAAAATGCTGCAAGGCTGTTGATGCAAGAAGTGAAATTGGCGGCGTAGATTGGTCTGCCAGTCGTGACGAAAGTGCTGTGGCGAATATAGTAAATGAGATTTACATATTATTTTCCCATAAGCGAAAGAATCGAAATGATACTAAGCGATTTCTCTTACCTTCAATATACTAAGTGTAAACTACAACTATACCGCTAAAACACGAAAATACAAAAGAAAACAATACTAACTGACATACTGGTGTGAAGATCGCAAGACGTGCCCGTTGACAAAAGTTGGGTTTTCCGGCCGGCAATCTTTAGAAATCGGGAAAAAAAACAATGGAAATCTAACAACACTTACCGCTTCTGTACACCTGATAGAATAAAGTTGATGAATTTACGAGGCCTCCGGCGAGAGCACAGCACAAAAAGACAGAAAATCTAGTTAAACTTTTTCGACATTTTTCCTGTTCAGAATTCGATTATTTGGAAAGAATACCACTGACCTGTGATCACAGGGCTCGCGGGAGCAGGACGAGGCTCAAAACTCTTCCAAGGGATTGGCCTGGTTTTGCCTCAATTCCAGGCAATGCAATTTCTCTTTTTTCGGTAAAGTATTATTTTAATGTTACTTTGCTGCCCTTTCTTCTGAAGGAACTCCGTATTTTGCAATGCAAGGAAGTACTGAAGTTCGGCGCGGGAAACGTGATAGTAGAAATAAGTACCATGGTTTAAAAAGGCCTATATTTAATGCGTCTCCATTGGTAACGGTGTAAATAATGAAACCTTATTATTTTCCTGTTTAATTGTCATGTCCCCTGAAACAATTATGTACGTTACTAATTTTAAAGATCGATTCATCGACTAACTTCGCCTGGTGTCTGCTTTTGTTATTAAGGTTATTTGGCCACAAAAAAGCATTTTTTCATCGTGATCATTTTTCTGTTAAACCTCATATACTAATATTTTTAACAGTTTAATATCCGTGAGAACCGCAGGGAAAAAAATCCATGACAACAAAGTACGTATACAAGAAGTTAAAGGCTAGAAAAGGCTAAAAACTGATGCCAATTTTACTGTGCTAAAATTGTCTTAACTGGTACTAGTTTTAAACATCCTGATTGTCAACACTTTCTATGGCGTTATTAGCTTCTACATGTCGTAATTTCCAGAACTGCACGCGCTGGATAACTTAATTGAATTGAGAGTGATTGTTCTAAGTGTTTCCAATAACAGGAAAAATATATATATTTATAGTTCTTTTCCGCCATAAATAGACCCCCAGTAATTTTTATAAACAATTGACACCTTATTTTTTTGTGATGACTTTGACCAGCTGTGTTTTAAGATAAAAGATGTTTTTAGAAGTTTAAAGATTGTATTGTTTGGAAAGAGAACGACAAAAAATCAAGACTTTTAATACGCACGCGACTTCTTGAAATATTTGGTCTTTTCAGTTAAAGCACAACTACGCAAGAAACTGATGATTTAAAGGAGTGAATACATGTTCGTTCTATATCCTATATTAGAAGGGGTATCACCTGCACTCGAGGTACTTGTTGGTAACATGCAAGTTGAATTTCCCAAGACAATGAGAAGTGGAAAATAAATGAAAGCTTTCAAGTTAATAACAATACAAAATTGCTTTTAAGGCATGCTATTTTTTGAATCACTATTCTACTGACTCAACAGCCTTCAATTGAAATTAACATCCTTCAGTAATCGTGCGTGAGCAAATCACACTCAGCTCTGTTCCGCCCTCTTTATTAACCTTAAAGTCGCCATCAATAATTAATATACGCTTTGATTTGCTCTCTTCTAATATATGTTATATTATATGATTCATCTTTTTAATTTGATGCTCATCAGAACGTATTAGTAGATGAATACACACGCAATTGTTGAATAAATTATCTGGCTTTAGCTTAAGTGTTTATATCAAGGAAGGAGGGTGGCTTGTACAGACAAGCAACCACTAAATGGATTCTTCGCGAGAAGTACACTTCCGCCCGCTCACTTGTGATCAAAAGATTAAACCAGCCGTAAAATTTGATTAATTCTCAGGCTTGTTTTCAACTGCATAGTAGTAAAGAAAACAAATTATCTGACTTTAGCTCAAGTGGTCATATCAAGGAAGAGGGTGGTTTGTAGAGACAAGCAAGCATTAAATGGATTCTTCGTGAGAAATACATGCACTTCCGCCAAGAGCCCATCAGCTCCTGACTTCCGCCTGATCTCTAGTGAGGAAACCAGAGGTTAAACCAGTCTCGCTTGGTGCTTAATTCTTTTCCACATATTTACTTACTTGGTACGATCAGTAGCTGATCATCCTAAAAGTAAAAGTTAGCCAAGACTGATTTTTTCAGGCTTTTTTTTCAGCTAAATAGTAGTAAAGAAAATAACTTTTTTAGCTTTTTTTGTTTTAGAGAAAGAAGGAAAGATAAGTATTTCAACTTCCGTTAGACAATATACGTAGGCGGTTTTCGTATCTGCAAGGATCTCATTAGATGTGATGAAATTTTGTCAAGCAACATAATCCGTGGATTCTTGATGGTAGACAGTACAAAACAGACGTCCACCAGGTACTCTATAATGGACAGAAGATGCATTTTTAAGGCAGTATGCCAAAGGTTTCGGACATTGTCTCCTTGTTCTTATGTAGATCCGGCTTAGACAAGACGCTTCACCACATCTTCATTCGAGTGCACGAAATAATTTAGGATTGACAATAACATATTTTGTTATCGCTTAATTCATAGCCATCATGCCGACATGAAATTGTTTAAGTCTCGGATTTACGGAAACAGTGGTCCAGGACGGTTTGTCTATGTCTCTTGTCGAAATTAATCGCTAATTTGGCATTGAGGTATGGTATACACCGTGTATGATTAGTAGCGAGCTGTTACAAGCAATGGCCACGGCCGATGGCAATGAGAGAGGCGTCTTAAGAAAAAAAAATTACTCACAAACACACACACCCCAAGAAACAAACAAACAACAAACAAACAAAAAGACCAAAAAACAACCACAAAAAAATATATATATAGATTTGACTAACATGCAACTTTACACGTGCAGCACACTTTTTCTTTTTTTTTTTTTGTACATCACTCTTCAGTTTGCCGTCACCGCGCTACAAGTGGACGATGTAAAACTTCCTTTATTTAATAGTTGACACAAGACAGCGATTTTCTCTTTTTACCCGAACATGTAACCCATTAGAATTCAACTCCAGAAAAGTTGAACGAGGTGGAATAATCATAGTGACCAGATTTGAAATAACACGGGTGATGACGTTTTTGTTACTGTTCCCATCGATGGTGCAATGCCTAAGTTCCTTATTGAAAGAGGAACTCACCTGACCATCGAAAAAGCCCCGAGGTATTCTTCCTTAAATAAGTTCTATAGGTATATGCGACGCCAAAAGGTATAGTTTATACAGTTAATTTCCTACTCGGTAGTGAAGTTCGCAAGTCTAATCTTTTACTTCCCCCTAACAGTCTTACACACTTGAACGTCTCCAAAATTCCCAACAAAGCTGTCGCCAATTCTTTCTGAAGATCGACCATTTGTGAGAGATGAGATATTATGGGATTGTTGGGAAATGTTGATTGAATACTTAGTCAACAATACAGTTCTAGAGTAGTTGGTGGCATTTTAATAGAGTGCTGGGTCCTCATTAAATCCTCCCTAAACACTGCCGCGCCTAAAAATTCCACCGATGGGCAGCTTCGAGAACAAAAGACGCCATACTTGAATAGAATATACTCAATAAAAATTTCTAATTTTAGATTCTTTCTGGACGCGCCTGTCCTGAAACAAGAAAATACTCCTCGGGGCAAAAGTGCCCCGACGTATAACTTTTGGATAATAAACTATTTAGGAAAGTACTTTTCACTCTTCCTAATTTCGGTAAAATTTGGCTCATTTTGGGCCTTTTCCTCCCTTGATATTTCGCTGATCATACTTTTAAGTGATATAGTAGTTATTAATAATGCATGAAAAACTAGAATTAATCCTTTCAATGAACTCTGTTGCCCTAAAATCCACGGGCGTTTTTGATAACAGTTCGAACAAGGGTTGGTTGTCGAGCATTCTCTGCGCTGAGCTTTTCTTATTAGGTTTTAAAACGTTTTTAGTTAAATGAGAAGGTTATCGTACTGAGTAAAACCTTTTAAAACGCATGAAAACGTGCCCACCTGTTTAAAGGCCATACTGAGTCATTAAGGCTAAAGGTACTAAATTAAAACTAACGTAAAATAAACATTATTATGCCGATTAAGCATGATATTATGTGTCTAGAGACTCTAGTTTATAATTACACAAAACATCAAAATAGCAAGGCTTTCACTTCAAGCAAGAATTTAGATTTGGACTTGACGTACTTAAGGTGGTACAATCCTCAAAAATCACTATTTTTTCTTATGTTATTTTGCAAAAATTTACCAATGTATTTTTAGACTACAACACAAGATAAGTTTATTTTTGCAGTTTTGGACCTGACCAGTTACCATGGCAACCAATAATGGCAAAAGATACCCCCCAGAGTTGCCCGTACTATAACACTTCTATCTCCAACAGGTTACAAAGAAAAATGCTAAAACTTCTGGAATTTATTCTTTAAATGCTATTTCATACAATGAACTAAAGAAATACTGTTCAGTCTCATAGATCCAAAATTATCGCAAGAAGCATATTGACATTCAAAATTCAGTGAAATAAGGATCTAACTTTGGCCTGTTAGCCAACAAGGATTGCACCAGAGTACTTGATTGTAGTTCATTGCATGTAAAAATATATGGAGATTTTTCACTCCAAAAATGAAAAGAATTGAATAAAACCACGGAAAGTTATGGCTGCTAGCATGTTGCTAGTTCCGTAAAATTCAAAATTATGAGAAAAAATGGGTTAAAGTTTGTGAAATGCAATTCTTGAGACTGTCACAGAGTTCCTGCAAATATAACTCAATTAGAACTGTCCAGAGGCATAGTTTACACCCTCTCTTTGCTTGTTTTTGTCATCTTTTCTTTTCTTCAGGCCTCTGATGACTTTTCTCCTCTTCTTAGTGCTTGCTTTATTTTTATACTCCGCACCGTCCACTCGTAGCTGATCTTGAAGTTTGCACCCCTCTTCAGTATATTTTCCAGGAGGAATGTTTAAGCCTTGGAACAGCTTGATAACAGTTACTGC